ACAAAATATGCAAAAGCATCAAGGTTCAAAATTACATATTGAATATAATTGCAATTAGGTAAGAAAACAAAAACAGAAATTCGACCGAAATAAAAAGTCACATGTTGGCAGCAGTCATCTTTCCACAGAGCATCGTATGTGGTATTTCTCATTCCTTTCATTTTTCTATCTTAAGATTCCTCTATTACAGATAAAGGTATAATGGGGAAAGAGATTAAAATTTTGCACCTGTGTTCACGTGTACACACCCGTCCCCGTGTCTTCTGTCCATGCTCAGGTCCTTCGGAGTGCTGCTGTGGGAGATCTTTTCCCTGGGGTACATGCCATACCCCAGCAAAAGCAACCAGGAAGTCCTGGAGTTCGTCACCAGTGGAGGACGGATGGACCCACCTAAGAACTGCCCTGGGCCTGTGTATGACTTTTTTAGGGCACTTCTACTAGCCCCTGAGCATAGTTTTTCCTTTAAAAAGTATCTAAAAAGTATTCCTTAAGGCTGGAGGGGCAGGTGGCTACCTTCAATGGAACATGCCCCAAGAGAGGCATGTGTCTATAACTTCATTGAGATGGTTAGTCTTCCAGCCCCTCAGAGGCAAGACTGCCATCCTGGCCAGAGGCTGAGGATTCACAGGTCCACACTACTCAGACACGCGTGTACCAGATTCACCCACCCCTACACCCTAGATCCTGAGTCTGCTTTAATAATATTCCTGTTCGCTGTGTTTTTTACTCTCCTATCTGGCATCCCTCGCCTCCTTCCATCAGCAAGACAGATAGGATATAGAATATTCTGTCCCAGAAGTGGCTTTAATTCAGGAATGAATATTTGATATAAACACCAGGATGTCTGTGTTAATGAGCTTTGATATTAACACCTCATGTCAGGCTAATTCCCTAATCTACCAGCAGGGGACAGCACCTACTGCCTACCTGGGTCCTACATGAATTACCGCCCTCAAAAGATAGGTACCAGTTCTGACCCCATCTGGAAGTGCTCTTCCTGACTTTAATTGCTTATTCTTTTAGATACCGGATAATGACTCAATGCTGGCAACATCAGCCCGAAGACAGGCCCAACTTTGCCATAATTTTGGAGAGGATTGAATACTGTACCCAGGTAAAAACATGTTCTCCCCTTAACCAGCAATAATTTTATATGGAAAAGCCCTAAAGATAGCAAATACAAAGGTAGGAAATGAAAGGCAAACCAGTCAGGGAACAAGACTGATGATCATGAGAATGAATATTCATCACCTCTATAATGAAAATGATTGGCATCTCATTCTGCCCATTTCATACAATAAATCCTAGTAACTTCCAGTTTCTTCACCAGCATGTGATACAGTGCCAGACAGTAGTAGTAGAAAATCAATTCAATTCACAAATATTAACTAAGTCCCTGCTGGAGATCTAATGTTTTATTAGGTGAAACTGGAGCTTCAAAGAAGGATGAAACACTCCTGCTCTCAAATAGTTTATAGCCTGGCTGGAGAAATAACAACGTCTGAACTAAATCACAGTGTACAATTGCTCACTCATATGTCCAAGTTAGAAGTATTAAGGGAATGAAAATTCAGAATAATCTGGAGAAAATTTAACATCATCTCTAGTATTTGTGTAGATTTGGACCTCACAAATCACTTTTCATGTATTTCATTTCGTCCTCATTGAGGGACATAAGACATCCCATTTCACAGAGGAGGAGCCAGGCCAGGAGAGGTTGTCCAGTCCTGTACTGAATTTTCCCTTCTCCCCACTCATCTTTAGCAGACACCTGCCTCCCACCTCAAGAAGCACACAATTCATCGAAGGAGAATTCCAGTTTCCTCCTTGTTCACAGTGTAGACTTGCCTACCTCTGCAGTCATTGGTACACCCCGCCCCCCAGGCCTCCTCCTCATCCCGGTGTCTGTCACCTACTGTCCCTGGGGATTATAATCATCAAGTTATCTCCTCTCTTCCTGCTCTCTGCTTTCATTATCTTTCTTTTGGCTCTTGTTCTGCCAGAACGAGAATACTGATGAGAATATGCCAGAAAAATTCAACAATTCAACCACCTCTCTAAATTCCCTCGATTGGGACAAAAGATAAAACACCTTTTCCAAACTAGAAGCACTTTCTAGCCTCACCATCCCACGCTCACAGGCCTTTTAGCTCAGCGGGTGAACTGACATCTTCCTGTAGATGGGCTTCGTTGGCGGAGTTACTGGAGTTCTGTCAAAGAATCTTGTTTGATGGCATACCAGTTTACAATGTTGTAACACAAATGGAATACATCTACCTAAATAGAGATACCTTCCCTAGAGTATTTTTCTCCAAAATATATAAAAGCCCTCTCAAAGGTGGGCAGTTTTACACTTGCATATTTTAAATTACTTGCTATGGAAAGGATAGTTATTTTTTTTACTGATGAATACTGAACCAATGAGCTCAAGTTACAGGCCCTTTTCCCTATTTGCATGAAACATTAATGAATGAGATTCCCCCAGAGTTACGTTTTCTTCCACGAATTTCCCTTAAATCTCTAGCAACTGCTTCTACTTTTCTGTGTTACAATCTATTGCTGTAAAAATTATCTAGCACAAAGTTGTTCTTGCAAATGGTTTTCCTCATAACACTTCAGTACTTCCTGAGCCCTCAAGGGACCCTTCACATCCAAACCAGTCAAAAACCCCTGCATGGTGACATCAGCACATGGAATGACGTGATAACACCAGGGAAAGTCACCATCAAGCGAACCCCCTCAAGTAGCAGGAAACTGGAGGAGGCTAGGAGCCCACAGTCTGCCTCTCCTCCCCTGCCCACAGCACACACACACCTGAGGTCAACACAGACTTCTTTTTAGTTGGAAATATTAATTATTGATAATAGACTGGAATATTTTTTAAAAAATACAATTTTTAAAAAAAAAATGCATTTATCAGTAAAATTTGGGTCAAGGGCAAAATCCCACTCCCCCGCCCCAGGCAGTGCGGGGCTTCCCTGCACCCCGGCTCCGGCTCCTAATTCCACCCCGTGGGCTCCTCCTAGGCCTTCAAGGTCAAGGGCGATGCTTTATTCGGTTCCTATTCTCAGGGCTTATGAATTAATATATCCTCAGTGTATCCTGAACGGTCTCCTGGCCTTAAAGTTTAGATGGCTTCTAGGGTCCCGTCTGGACTCCACATTTTCTGTGATTCGGTTTTCATGGGTCCCTCTCTCCTCCCATAGGACCCAGATGTCATCAACACTGCGCTGCCCATAGAATACGGCCCGCTCGTGGAAGAGGAGGAGAAAGTGCCCATGAGGCCCAAAGACCCCGAGGGGATGCCCCCTCTGCTGGTGTCCCCGCAGCAGGCCAAACGCGGGGAGGACCGCGCCCCAGCCGCGCCCCCGGCCCTGCCGGCCCCCTCCTCGGGGAAGGCGGTGAAGAAACCCGGCGCTGCCGAGGCCTCCGCGCGCGTCCCCAGGGGGCCCGCCGCGGAAGGGGGACACGTTAACATGGCATTCTCTCAGTCCAACCCGCCAGCAGAGCTGCACAAGGTCCAGGGGTCCAGGAACAAGCCCACCAGCTTGTGGAACCCAACTTATGGCTCCTGGTTTACGGAGAAACCCACCAAAAAGAACAACCCTCCAGCCAAGAGGGAGTCACAGGAGAGGGGGCGCTGTACTGTCCCGGCCGGCGGCGCCGCTCCCGGCAGACTCGCGGGGGCGTCGCTGCTCCTGGAACCCTCGTCGCTGACTGCCACCATGAAGGAGGTGCCTCTGTTCAGGCTGCGTCACTTCCCTTGTGGGAATGTCAACTACGGCTACCAGCAGCAGGGCTTACCTTTAGAGGCCACCACTGCCCCCGGAGCAAGTCATTACGAGGACAGCGTTCTGCAAACCAAGAACAAGGCAAACCACCCTGGGCCCTGAGCCCGGGGCCACTTCCTTCTCTCTCCTGGAGAGCCCATGGGACAGGGGGAGGGGAGGTAATGGCTCCATCACCAATCAGAGACCAAATGTCACTTTCATTTTGTGCCAATTTATTTTGAAGTGCCACATTTTTTAAAAACAGTGTATTCTCAAAATGCTTTAGAAAGGTTTTGAGCATGGGTTCATCCTATTCTTTCAAAAGAAGAAAATATAAAAACTGATCACTACCAGGCCCTATTGGTTGCATAAGGTTTTTTCCGCATGGTGGTTGTATACTTCTTAATCCTTATGCTTCTTTTAACTTGTGTGTGCTCTGCTTCAATGTCGTCAGAACCAGCTGCTTACATGTCTCGTGGTGGGAGTATGAATGTTCCTCGTTGATGTGGACATGAACCATTGGAGGGGTGAGGGATCGAGAATAAAGGAGCTAATTGTAATGATTCAGCATGGGGAAAGACTTCTTCACTCGGAAAAGAAAAACCATAGACCATTAACTGAAATATCACTTTAGATGATGGGTAGATAACTAATTGTGCTGATTCCTTGCCAATTATCTTTTTTAAAATGTCGTGAATAGTTCAGTAGTATAGAGGAAAAAAATATGTGAATATGCTCATCTAAACAAAATACATACATCCCAAGTGCTTTGAGTATGATGAAACACCAGGACAGATCCAGAGATTCAAACACCCTATTGACATACCTCATGCCTTAAGAAAATCCTCCTCCTAAAAGTGAAAAACTGAGTGTGAGGTTTCCTACTAGATTTGAAATCACGATTTAAATTACTTGCTTTCAAACTTGCCACTAATTCAAATCTATTCATCTATTTTAAAACAAAAATCTTAAGCCTATGAGTGTGGAAACATATCCATTTGGAGACATTCGTTTCAGTACATCTCAGGCCAAAAACCTTTGAACAGTTTTAGTCATGAAGTTCACTGTGCTGAAGTTCTCCCTGTCGTGATGGGCAGGGTCCCTGGGGGACCAGGCCCTCCAGTGGTCCTAGGAAAGTCTTACAGCCATAACCTCCCCTGCCCCATTCACTTGAGTTTTCTGACCCTTAATCATGCGATCCTAGTATATTGGGACCAAATATGTTGAAATATTTATAGGATAATTTGTATAGCTACCAAATGCAGATTAAAATGAAGATTTTTTTCCCTCTAGGCGGCGAAGAGGAAAGCAACTAAGGAAAGCTTGGAGTGTGGGGGATGACACTGACATCTTATTGTGGGAGTTCTACACCTGGTTTTCCTAGATGAAATTTATTTCTATAAAACTGCATCAGGAACCCATTAAAATTTATACACATGCTTCTGTAATGTTCTGATCTGTAAGTGCTCATTTCATTCTTTGTGCTTCTCCTCTCTGCTCGTGTCCAGTCTGTTTCCCGGTGGTAGCATCTCTTTGGGAGGAAAGCATTTTCTGTTACTTGCTATGCATGAAACATTCCCAAGCCAAGGGACTGCAGGGCGGGTAGGTGCATATGTACCTTTCTTCCAATCTTCTCCTTTTTATCTCTATCGGAAGTATAAGTTTGAATGAAGAGAGGTATTATATTCTACACCAAACCAGAAAACTATTCATTTCCCTTAAGGCAGTTGCCTGGTCCCAGAATTGGTGGTTCTGTGTATCTGTAGATGCACTGGTACCTTGGGGATTACTTTTATTTATCTGCCCAAAATATTTTCATCAATATACATGAAGCTGAAACATCCATGAACTCATCTCTAAATAACTGTATCCGTAAAGTATGGTTCATGCCAGGTGCAAAGTAATCACATAAACTCTGTTCCAGCTTACAAACCACCCGGAGGGGCTCTAGAATCTCACGCTGAGAAACACTCTCTCCGAAAGGATAACAGAAAACAATTCCACTTTACATCAGTAACACCAGTAACCAGTAAAGAAGGGAGTGTGCCACGTGGTTAAATAGCCAACTCCTTAATGTAATAGATGGGGGAGGGGTGGATCATAGCCCTTTCCACTCTTAAAAAACAAAATGCAGGTTGTGCCTTACTACCACGGAGGTTGATTTGTTGCTTTTCTCTGATCGTCTTTGTTGGTCAATGTTCATGTAAACGATAGTGGAATCTTAAAAGCCTGTATACATGGATACGGAAATAAACAACTCCACACTGAGATATTATGCCCTCGAGATGTTTCATTGAAGTTGGTGTAACCTTAGGTACCAGCATGATTAACATAGACTACTGTCCACTGAATGCTGCTACAGCCATATGGCTACAGCAATCCAGGCAGATGCTGTGGACTCTAATAAATTCATTAGCAATGATAACAGGTTCCACCTAGAAAGTGGACAGACACAACTGAAGTTTGCAGAAGTCATGTTAATTAAACCATAATCTAGCATAATAATTTATATTCCACATCAATTAAAAAAGCCATCAAAAGGTTACAACAGTTCCACTGGGACACTAGCAATTTGTGAGGAATGACCAGTTTGTCAATGCATGGCTCCTCACAATTATAGCAAACTGAAGGAGCAGGAATACACTTTTTTTTTTAAAGTATGTTCTACTTAATAGTTAAAAGACTAAATCTTCTTCCACTAGGGTAGAGTCTAGAGTCCTGGCTCCCCTGGGTTATCTGACCCAATGATTCCCCCCTATCTAAAAGAAGGACAATAACACTCCTGTGCCTCATAGTTGCCCTGTGGGAGAGCATAAACTGTGACTGCACAGCACCCCTTACACCTGGGGAGTGACATGAGGCTGGGTGGGTGGGGGTCAGCGTCTGTGCGCCTCCTACCCTCCCATTCAGCAGTTCTTGTCCACCCAATGGAAAAAGAAGAATGGATCAACCCTCTACCACTGTAGAACTAGGTTCCAAGTGTTAAAACAAGCACCACAGAATGAAAACTAATTAATTTGAGCGATTATTTTAAAAAATATTTTTGGCATCTCCATGTAATTATTTCTTGGTCAACCCTAGGGCTGTAAGATATTATGTAACTGCAGGTTGACTTCATTCTTTAAAACATAGCTGGGCTACTTTAATAGATTTCCTCTAGTAATACAGCAAGATGAGCTTTGCAGACCAAAATACGAGACGGGTATGAATTCAGACCACTTTAAGTAACAGGCTCCCCATGACAAGATTCATAAAATTGTATGCAGTGTGTTGTCAATCTGTCTGTGGCTAATGATTTTTTAAATGAGTCCCTGAAGAATCCACATTTGACTTTGCTGATTTCATGACAACAGATGGTTCCCCAAGTTGTGTGAACACAAAACCACCCCCACGTGCCTGAGCTCCTCACCAGTATGCCCTGAAATCTAAGAGGATGACTGAGAACAGAGGAGCTATTAAGATCGTATTCACTTGGTATCCTGCGCAGGTACACTTGGTTTTTAATGCACTCCTGGAGTACAAAGCTATTGTCTAGCTCTGGCTCAGCAAGGAGAAGAACTTGGAGAAGCTTCATAGGAGCAGACCAACATACAATTAGTGAGGGAGGGGACCTATAACCACAAAACTAGAGCAACGTCCTCCCTGCTGCATTCAGGGCAGGGAATGCCCTGGGTGCTCCCCTCTCAGGTGACCATGGCACCAGCAGTCTACCCTCAGAAAAGCAGCAAGTACCAAAGTCTGTGGAAGTGTCCACCACTGTAAGTTCCTCTTCTGACACCCCCTCAGTCGCTCTCTGCACTCCCACAATCTAAGGCCTGCTGCCTCCTCGTAAGCAATCCCTTACAACTCTTCCTCCACACTAATGTGCCTTTGCTAGGCTCATTTCTACCCATCTAAAGTGATATTTCATTTTATTTAGCCAACTGAAACAACTCCCAATTACCTTAGAAGAGAATCCCTCCTGTCAGTTGAAAGTCCAACTTACTAAACCAAGCCTGGCACAACTCTCCCTGGAATATTTACATTTTAATAGTGGCTATCAGAGTGATAAGTTCTAGATGTGTATGTCATCTTGGATAATTTAGCACCCATCAATTACTTGAAAAACAACAAGCGGACTGCGCAGTAGAGGAGACACTGAGTACCAGACTGCAATTATCTACCTACGGGACTCAGGCAGGTGACTGAAACGCTCATTTGAAAAACCAGTGGTTTGGTCTCAAAGGCCCCTTCTAATGTTGAAGTCTGAGATTCTGTAAGATTTCATCTATGAAAGGTAAACCCAACACCCAGACCATAATCAGTAGGGGTGTATGTGTGTGTGTGTGTGTGTGTGTGTGTGTGTGTGTGTGCGCACTTGACTCTTAATTCACTTAGAGCCAAAGTCAATCCCAGTGAGCCAAATTGAATATTTTTATAGAAGCTAACCAGAAAGGTTGGCATCAGTTCTGTGTTTTCACTTACTATTCAAAGATCTCCTTAACCCACCTACAACCACTACCATACAAAAAGAAGTCCATCGGGAGAGGTCGGAAATAAGCAGTGGACAGGACTAGGTGTCGCGTCCTTTTAATGATCATTGTGCCTTAAGTGTCACACTACTTATTTTCTTCAGTTATATTTGGCTACAACTGCAGCCTTATTAGCAAAGTAAAATCATAAACTCACTTTTAAAGCTTACCTTCCACCACAGAGAATATCTAATGAGACACCCACGCCCTCTGTCCGCAGGCGATTTTCACCTTTCAGTCCCATTTCCCAAAGCAAGGTAGCAAAGCCCAGAATAAGCCAGGTGTTTGGGACCAGGAGGTGTCTGGACGGGGGTGTCCCTCAACCTGTGTGTCCAGGTGCTGTTCTGATGGGGAATTCATTGAGGAGTTCTCTGTCCCAATTACCTTGGAAGAGAATCCCTCCTCTCAGGTCTATATAGCTCTCCACCACTGCTGGAAGGCAGTGTCTGGAAACCTATTGAGAACAAGACAGCTTTATAATGGATCCTGAAATGTGAAATCTAAAAAACAAAGCCAATTCAAACATCCAACAAAGATAAGGCCTCAAAGGCTGTAGGCAAGTTTCCTACCTTTTACTGCTCCTAATAGTTGAGAGGAAAAAAACAATTTAAATCTTTCTGCATTACTCTCAAAGTAACATTTATGTAGTATTTCACAGTTCTCAAAAGAAAGAATTTCAAAGACAGAAATTCTTTTTTCCTTGTGTATGTACCAACAAGCAGCTGGTTCTGTTTTTAAAAAGAGAGAAACTGAAGCAGAGCCTCACACTGGATTTTCCTCAGTCACACACCAGGGAGTGTGAAGTGAGGCTGCAAGAATCTTGGGCCATTTCTTAATTCCCTAAGCTCTTATTTTCTTCAAGAAACAGAGAAGATCACTTTGGGGAAATTGTGATCTTTTTAACTGATATGTATAACCCACTGGAATGCTCATTAAAAATCCATCTTTATTAGCAAGTTCATAAAGGGTGCCCATGCTCTTCTGCTGTGCTCTTCTGCTCTGTGATATTGTCTATAATAAACAAAAGCCATTTCCCCTGCCATCAATATGAGCCTCGTTGTGACTATTAAAATTCATTTAAAAATCCATTTGGAGATACTTCCCCCAAGGTATCAGAGGGTGATACCCCATCCTTAACAAGAACTATCGCGGGCAACCAATGTCATTAACACTGTTGGCTGCGTTTTAAGAGGAGTCTGAGAAAGAATAAAAGGAATGGCTGGAAGCTGTACACATCACTTTAGCACAATTCAATTCCATGTCAGTGTGATTTGATCTGCTATGTGAAAAACAATCATTCGTTCAGTCTTCAATGAGGTGAACCTACTTTGAGCAACAGGAGGGTAGCTGAAAAACAGTTTTCTTTGTTGAATAACAAGCATGGTACTTTCTAAGAGTTGATAGGGACAGGACGGCCATCACGAAGCCATGGAGAAACCTAGTTGGCTGTAACTGAAAGAACTGAACCTCTGCAAGACTGATGTGGGTCTAGGATGGTGTTTAGTTTGGATATTTAAACCTCCTACACTTCTGAGACTCCCGTTTCATTTTATTTAGCCACTGAAACAACTCGGAGAAAAAGCCCAGTCCTGAGACCAAAGGGGTCTGTTGGAGAACATGGGTGTGACTATTTACTCTGCAACAGACCCAGATCTGGGTGCACTTTGAATGGTAGAGCTGCACTTCAACCAGACTTAGCATCTTGTAAATGACACTGGTAATCACTCAGGACAGGTTTATATGAAGCTACAGGCCTCAATTAAGACACTTAGAATATCTCTTCATGATTCAAAACTCTGTCCCTTCTCAGTATCACTGTGACCATATTTCCTTATTTGAAAGGTGCAGTAAATGAGAGGACTCGCTATTGACTGGCCATGAAAACTCTATTCATTAGACTTTTTGAAAAGATAAGAGGGGAAAAGTCTCCCCCAGACCTTGATCCTACTCTCCCCTCAAGGGAGAGCTATAAAAGAGAAAAAGTCTCATTTTCATCAAGCAGAGTGAACCTATATTGATGTCAGTGACATGTGCCCATCTCCTCTAATTCTACCATAAGAACTTCCCTCCTGTAAAAGGAGAATTTGCAAAAAGTTTGATAGAAAAATATTTTGCCTATGCAAAAGCATCATGTTCCACTGTTCTAAAATCCAAGAATTCTAAAGTTGAACCTGATCAGTCTATTCAAAAGCTTCATTAAGAATGTTTGTTTATGTATTCACAAAGCTTATGTGACACTGTAAATAAGAGCCAATGTACCAAGGGATGTTAATAAACAACATTTAAAATATATGTGATAATGTGAGTTTTGTATTAACTACTGTCCTCATATTATAAATAAATGTAGTGAAGCAAAGAACATGAAGAAAAATTTTTAAATGAATTCTCCCCTTCGCTTACAATGCGGTGATATACATGCCCTAGGGCCAATCATTTAGATAACAGATAACTGGTAGACAGTTAAAATTTCTATATGTGTTTTTCAATTAAGAATGATTCCTAACACATTGGTCAGTCAGAAAGCATATGATCACGCATTCTAAATAGGTAGCCTCAAAATGAAAATATTTAGCGCTGGAGACCCATGTTGTGCACACTGGCATAGAATCCAGTTCTCTACATATATTAGAGATGTTCTCTAAATCATTACATCAAAACAGAAGTTCAAAGACAGCCCCCAGCAAAACAGACAGGGAGCCGCCTCCATGACCCTCTTGGGTTCCCCTTCCCTCTTCCTGCCCCTCAACATCTTTTAATCTCCGACCTGTCACTCTGTAGGGACAAAGTTGGGTCACTGGACTCAAACCTTTCTGGTCCTCTTTCCTCCTTTCCAGGCTTTGTCTCTCAAAGCCACCTCTCTACTGCAAGCTAGCTGTGCGGCAACTAGACATTAAGCAACCAATGGCCTTCCCAGTCTCTGCTCCCTCTTCGGATGTTGGCTGAGCATCTACCAGATGCCATTACTCTAGGTGAGAAGATAAAGCAATGGACAAAGCAGGTTCAAATCTACCCTACCCCTCAATTTAGGGACTCAATGAGAGGAATAATAAACAAAAAGTTAGGCATGGCCAAGGGTGGTGGATGCTAAGGAGAAAATGATTTGTGAGAGGGGAGAGGATGGAGGGGATTCATCCCAAGACTACAAGGTCTCAGTCCACATTCAGCAGCTATCCGAACATTTTTAAGCACTTAAAATTATTCCCCTGACTTACCCTAAAATACAAAAACAAAGCTTTTCAGTAAAAAGGTGATTGCTTTTTGCCTCAATTCAAAGTGTTCTCTCATGTTCTAAATGAATCCCAGCAAAGTTTAGTGATCTTAAAAAAACTGTAGAAAAACATCCTGAAATGACTCTGTTCTTCAAAAATAATACTAACAGGAGGGTAGCTAAAAAAACAGTTTTCCTTGTTGAACAACAAGCATAGTACTTTTTAAGATTGTTTATAGGGACAGGACTGCCATCACTACGGGGGGAGAAAAGCCCAGGGCACAGGTGCCCTCAGTTACTAAGAGAAGAATTGCAAACAGGGTAAATGACAAGATACCATTCCAAAACCAAGCAGCTTCCCTTTTTATTAATGCTCCAGAAGTGAACTTTGAATGACATTTAATAAGCAAAACACAACGGAAACACCTAATTTGTATGTATAGTATATGTAAACATACATGTTAAATGGATTTAAAAATCTTGATCTGAATAGGATGAGAATTGGTTCTTTGACATCAAAAAATAAATTCAGTGTTGGTGTTACTGTTTTTAACTCGGAGAGTTTTATATTTAACAGAATTATAAATTTCAAGTTCAGTATAGTCATGGATTTCATGTTCAGGTATAAATAGTTTTTAAGAAATAATCTATATAATAAAATAAATCTACTTTTAAATCACAGCACACTTATTTTCTTCAATCAATAAAAATAATCCTTGGTTATAAAGCAGCCTTATTTTGCAAATGTATTTCAGGAAAATAAGTCTAGCAGTATTTATTGACATACCACACTTTTTTTAAAAAAAAAAGGCAACAAAGTAACAGAATTTAGATTTTAAAATAGTATATTGCAAAATAGTTCAGCATATTTTATTTCTAAGCACAAAGCAAGCTCCATTCTGAAGGATACTTTTAATCTTATAAATTGTTCCAATATTCTGCGGTAGTTTGAAGTCTAAATATTTACAATAAATCTTTACACACATAGGACAGAAACTTCAATACATATACACAAGACAGACTTTGGACATTATTACATCACTTTAGCAAAGCTTAGTTTGTAACATATACTCAAGGAGGAACATGGTACACAGTGTCGTTTGTCGCTCTGTAAGAGGCTGACCTCTGCAACCTCTGGGGGCGAAGAACAGCCACTGCAGCCAACAACACCAGGCTGACCAGTGACAGAACAAAAAAGCCCGGGAATCATACACATTTAAATGAACAAGTAATACGCCCTTCCTGACATAACTTAATTTGCTCTCTTCTGTTGAATACATTTTTAAAATGTTTTTCATATTCCAGGAGGAAAGGATGTCAGACAATCTACAAAGATGAAAGTGCATCATGTTTTAAAAGTGCTTTGAGTGTGCGTGCATGTGTGCATAAGTGAGCGTGTGTGAGATAGATACATCTAGCGAAGAAGTTAAACAAGTGCAAAACATTCTGATTTGAATTCATAAACCTTAATTGTGAGTTTTTCTGTAGTTCATACAGATTAGACAGGCAAGCAGCAGAAGAAAACTCGGAGGTTACCTACTTTGCATAGAGGGAAAAGCAATGAACCACAAGTCAGGAGACCCATGGTTGTTTGCCAACCAACTAGTTGGTGGCCCTGGGTAGGACAGATTCCATTTCTGTATTCAGCAAAGGGGCCAGAGGCCACGCCAGACTGCCCAGGGTTCATCCACCTCTCACATTCTAACACACCTTGATATGAGCCATTCCTGAAGGGGCATGTGATTTTATCAGAAATATCAAAAATACACCTAGTTGCTATTACCTTAAGGTAATTATTAGTAATAAAACTCAAGACAGAAAGAAAAACTCAGAAAACATGTGACAGAAAAAGGTCATGTGAACACTGTTAACCAAAGCTAGTGAAAACCTTCACAATCGGGACAAATCCAACATCATGTGCAAAAATGAAACACAACAAGCAAAGCAACACATCCATTTATCACCTGGTGGCACATTCTTTCCTTTCTTCCTTTTTTGAGTCCTGGAATTTTTCTTGGGACCTAAAGCTTTTAAAGCTTTTAAAAATGCTTATTTGGAAACCTTTTAAGAGAACCATGATATCTAGAGCTCATGCTTGTGGCCTTTTAAGGAGTCACTCATTGTTGTAAGGGTTTGTAGGAAGATGACTATACGCTGCATTTCCACATGTTAGATAATGGCTAAAGAAAGTAAAACCATATGCCATGGGTTCTTATTTTACACGGTGTGCGTGTGCACTGTGCACTCACACTTCTGAGCTCGACTCATATTTTAGAAGCTTAACAATTCTCATCCACAAGTTTGGACCCATTGATTCCCCGATAGGTCACTCTTCCCGGTCTAACTAAGACTCCATGGTTCGGCTTACAGGTGAAATAGCGCTTGTCACCCACGGCGCCATCGTTCTTCCCCTTGGCGCTTCGGAGCTCCAGTCCAAGCCAGATCCCTGAAGCAAAGTCCGTGGGGCCCACGTACCTAACGGTACCCATCTCATTAGAGCTCGTGAGCAGGACCTGAGAGCCCCGGTGCAGCTTCACACTCCCCTCAAGGCCACCTGCTGTGCTGGTACTGCTCCAGCTGCGACGCAAAGCGGTCTTGGACCTGTCCAGAAGGGAAAGTGAGAACAGTCCTTAGGTGTGACAGCCACAGAAGACAACTGACCATACTTATTCCAAGGCCAGATTCAGAATTCGTCACTGTCATTCACAAAAGAGAACACTTTATGGGAACAGCTTGATTTTTTAAAATGCTAAGCAGCAGCTATCGCATCACTAACACCAAATGAGGTCTGGGTGCCCTGGACAGGATTCCTTCCTTTTCCCTCCTCTTGATAGACTACAGATACCTCCCAGCACCTGCTGCCAATGTGACCTGGTTAACAAAACTCTTTGGGACTCACTCACCCGTGAACTCAGCCAAGGCCTCAAGCCTGCCCCGCCCAAGAGCTACCTTCCGTGATGTGCTGGAAGTCGCTGATCCTGACGTTCACCCGCGATGGGTACACTGCGGCCCAGATCTTGCTGCCCTCTCATCAGAGATCTTCCAGAAACCACCAATCCTACCTGAGCCTTCCACCGTCTGTCCCATGCCACTGCTCCAAAAGAAACCCTTCTCCCCAGGACCACAGCAAATACAGTGCAGAATCTATTACCCAAACTGCATAGATCTCATTGGAAACAGAACCCAGACCCTACTTATTTTTTCTATTTTATTTCATTTTTATATATTTTTAAATACTTTATCAAAAACACTATCTCATTTCCTATCAACCACAACCGCAGAAAGGAAGAGGACATGAATTTTATGGGCAGAAAGCTGAGGCTTACAGGCTTATTCTGAGTTGCACTTGCCAATAAAAGTAACAGAATTCTAGTTATAAAATACATGTAAAATTATTATTTGCTATGTCAAATGCACAAATACAATAATAAACAATGTGTGAGAAAAAGCACAGATCTTTACGGAAGAACATACAAAAGAAAAATGAAAGTTCTTTTTCTAAATAGAAACATACATTTGTTAATATTTCAAATTCACTCCAAATGGACAATTTTTGAATCATGACAAAATTATAGTAATCTCCACATAATGACAGTGAGCTATCGCTTCCTGAGCACTCAGTACGTGCCTTACACCTCC